TCACTCAAGTTGGGCATGAAGCCGAATTCTGGTAGGAGATGGGGAGTGGAATGGACAGTGTCGTATAAGGCGACTAAGTGTATCATAATCTAAGATATTCATACCATTCAATGCGGTGTAACAAAGCACCGTAGATAATTATCATGACCATTTATCCTGCCATGACGAGAGGATGTAGGTTCTCACGCCCAAGTCCCTTGCTGATGGGCATTGTTCCATTAGGCACATTTTGTTTTCACCAATCTTGTTCCCAAGAGAAAAATATTGAGTAAAAAACATTTATCACAAACGCTATCTATTATAATAGGGATTACCATCCCCAGGCTTCAAGCAATCTTAGCGGGCTGATTAGCCCCTTGGCCACGTTGCGGGCAATCGGCTATTCCATGGCCAGGCTCACGGCAATAAAAACAACGCCTGTCGCCATCCCGACGCCAAGTCGAATGGCGTTCCCCTTGGCCTCGATTGCGAGGGACGGGATTCGGCCGAGATGAGGTGGTAGGCCTATGCGGCCTCTTCTTGCTAGCCGCCACAATTTGAGAAGCCGCCTTAACGTTTTTATCCTCCACAACCTCGCCATATTTAATCTTTAAGGCCATGTTGGCCACCTCGAAACCGGGTTGATCCGCGGTGAATAAGAAATGAATATTTTCTTTCGCCTCGTCAACTATCTGCTGCAGGTAATCGGCAAGTTGCTCGCCGCCGTGTGGAGGTACGATGGAAATAGCATGACGTGCGATAGCTTGAATGCGTTCGAAACTGAACAGTTGAGTGTGAATGCCGTCACTTTTCACGAGAGAAGAACGCAACTGAGGGCGTGCAGGAACGCCTTCGGGGTTAAGAGGAGGAGGAGGGGCGCAGGGGCGAGGTGCCGTTAATGCAACGGGGCGTACGGGATCAGCTGTTGCTGCAGGGTCACCAGCGTTGCCGCGTTGGAGCACCGCGAGAAGGCCGAGCACGTGTCAAATCGCCTCGTTATTATTTGCTGCCGCTCCAATGTTGTTTCCAGTATAACGCGCTGAGTTTTCCGTTGTACGGTGCTCTGTCGAGGCACTGGATCTGTCTGTAACGCGATCCCCGCCAGTTTTGGTGAAGATTCGTCGCAGGTTCTGCTGGCTGGCGGGGTCAAGGCGAGCGATAATTTCGGCGATTTCCGAAATCCCAGCTGCCTGATTGCGCGTATCCTGATGGTCGCCCTGATTCGCCCGCCGATTTGCAGAATCGGGCCGACGATTTTCGCGCGCAGGATCCCGCGTCTGACGGTCGCGATCTGCACGTGCTGGATCCTGGTCGCGATTTGCGCGTCAGAATCTCGGTCGCGATCTGCCCGAGCAGAATCGCGATGATTGCGATCTGCTCGGGCAGATTCGCGATGATTGCGGCCTGTAGGAGCAAGACCGTCATTATTGCAATATGCAGGCACAGGACCGCGATCACTGCGGTCCTGCGCCTAGGGTGCTGGGGCCGGCCGAGCTGGGGCGTTTTCGCCTGGCTGTGACGCGTCGGCAGCTGCGCGTGGGGAACGACCCTCACCTTGAAACCCGGGAGGGCCTTCCCGCTCGTTACCGCAGTTACCACCGTTTCGACGGGATCCTTCGGGACCAGGGGCAGAAATGGACGCGTCATTCAGCAGCTCCAGCGTAGTCAGGGTCCGGTTTCCTTCGTTTCAACGAGAAGATCGTGAGCGTTCACACTGGGATGAGGAATCGCGATCCTCGTCCCTCCTCGGAGATCCGCGCCGGCCGCTGCTGCGCGTAACCATTCTTGGCGCGGGAGGACGGCCGGTTACGGCGGAATCAAAACCAGTAGCCATAAACGAAAATCCGACGTTGACTACGTCTTCAACCAGTGTGCTCCTATGCCTTGCTCTAGGCATAGAAATGTCAGAGGTCCACTGGTGATCCCCGATTGATCCTAGGGAAGGGTTATAGGCACGTCGGCCTGGGGGGTTATGGGCGCACTCACCCGCTATACAAACAAGCCCTTTTATCCCAGTGGTTAATGGCTGGGATTCTGACATGGTATCAGAGCGAAGGTCTCGGGTTCGAATCCCGGTGTGTGCACTTCGGGCATCCTTGTCGGGGAGGTGTCAGAGGTCAATTGGTGATCCCCGATTGATCCTAGGGAAGGGTTACAGGCACGGCGGCCTGGGGGGTTATGGGCGCACTCACCCGCTATACAAACAAGCCCTTTTATCCCAGTGGTTAGTGGCTGGGATTTTGACATGGTATCAGAGCAAAGGTCTCGGGTTCGAATCCCGGTGTATGCACCTCGGGCATCCCAGTGCGGGGGGGTGTCAGAGGTCCACTGGAGATCCCCGATTGATCCTAGGGAAGGGTTACAGGCACGTCGGCCTGGGGGGTTATGGGCGCACTCACCCGCTACACAAACAAGCCTTTTTATCCTAGTGGATACTGGTTGGGATTCTGACAAGAGAGGGTTTTAGAGAGTGTGTTGAAGCAAATCAAGATCTGAAGATGAGAATGAGACTAGGTGGCAGGTCCATCGGACCTGTGAGAATATGAAGGAGCTTGTCTCCTTTACAGCAGCCTCCTCTTCTAATCGAATCACAATCCTTAAAATTGTTAAACGTAAAAAAATTACATATAAACCTATGCTAGAAATATCATACAGTATCGCCCCGGATATAAACGCAGACCTATGTTAAGCGCATGCGCTTTTATCTGGAGCAATGCGCTTATGGCCGATCCTCATTTAGAAGCGCACCCCCTTTAAAAGCGTGATTTATTATAAGCGCATGTTAGTTTTAAATTTTAAAAACTGTCAAAATACGGTAACGAAGCTCGCTCTAGCAAGCTGTTGACTTGAAAAACAAAGTTCCTTCACATTCAAACCCTGCAGGCTGCGCGTCCAGTCAGCATGTGCTGGCGGAAGCGCCAATTTAAGTGTATGTGCTGGCAGGGAATCTTTCCCTGCCAAGTAGCGAGAGATTTTCACCCAAACCCTGTTTGAAATCGACTCGATTGGGTGCGCAATGACGCGAACTACATTTACGTGCTAGTAATTTAAAATTGTATATTTGTTATTTTATAAGCACATACGCTTATATTTTTTACTCAATTATAAGCGCACCCCCCTAAAAAATCATGTTTTATTATAAGCGCAGGTGCGCTTTTATCCGGGGTAATACGGTAATAAAGTAAAGGCAAGCAAGCATAGCTGGCATAAGCCGGCACACGTCCCCCCCTCAAAGCTGGGTGGCATGAGATACACCCTGCTTGACAAGATAGTCTTTGAGAGCACAGCGTGCATTGCCCATGTCAGCTTCTGGTACCCAACTGTCCTCAGTGGGGTCGTATCCCTTCCAGCGTATCAGGAACTCGAGGGTCTTGCCGCCGTGGCGCCGACGAGTGAGAACGCGCTCAATCTCGTACTCTGGTTCATCCTGTAAGAGTTCCTCTGGGTTGTACTCTGGGGAGGAACGCACACCTGCGAATGGGAGTGGTAGAGGGGAGTGCTTCACGAGTTAAGGGTGCGAGGGGGTGTGTATAAGGTCGTGGCTAAAACAGCCACTACTGATATGTGGCTGAGGGGTTGATACAACAGGGATAGAGGAGTGCTAAATACATGGCTGTGGGGTTGATACACGGACGAAAGGGAAGTTCTAGTGATGGTGAAGGGGAGTGCAACCCCTTGGTAGGGGGGAGGGGAGAGATAGCGACGGGGAAGGGGAGTGGTAGCGACGGGGAAGGGGACCGCCAGCAAGGGGGGAGGGAAGTGCTAGCGACGGGGAAGGGGAGTGCTAGCGATGTGGAAGGGGAGTTTTACCGAGGGGGGAAGGGGATTGCTAGTGATGGGGAAGGGGAATGATAGCGACGGGAAAGGGGATTGCAAGTGACGGTTGAGGGGAGTACGAGCGTTGGGGAAGGGGACCGCCCGCGAGGGGAAAGGGGAGTGATTGCGATGGGGAGGGGGAGTTTTAGCGACAGGGAAGGGGACCGCCAGCGAGGGGGAAGGGGAGTGCTTGCGACGGGGAAGGGGAGTGCTTGCGACGTGGAGGGGAAGTGCTAGCGAGGGGGAAGGGGAGTGTTAGCGATGGGGAAAGGTGAGTGCTAGCGATGGGGAAATGATAGCGACGGGAAAGGGAACTGCAAGCGATGGTTCAGGGGAGTACTAGCGACCGGGGAGGGGACTGCCCGCGAGGGGGAAGTGGAGTGCTTGCGATGGGGAGGAGTGCTAGCGAGGGGGATTTTTTTTTTTGGAAAATATGTTCACAGAGTATGTAGAAGGATAAAATATTCCTAGAAATCAGGGAGGCTCGAATTGAAACGTCAGCCCTGGCTCCAAGCTTGAGCACAGTGGGATTAGTTTGAAAATAGCAACATGATTGACACCCCATTGCTTTAGGTACTGTCTTGATATTCTGTATATAATACAAACAATGAAGCATTCGTTCTGGATGCTGTAGAATCGATCATAAATCAAGAATTGATTTGCAATGCATTGCCATTTACACTCAGATGCAGGTATGAAGAAAAGCTATTCCAAACCAAAGGCTACGCACTTGAGATTCAAGGTTGACGATAAGAACCATCCGTTTTTGCTCAAATGTTCACACTGGAGTGTGTGCCAGTGACCGAGCGCTAGTCCTGGTCCTCGTCATCGGACTCGTGGAACAGCGTGGTGGGCTGTGTGGCAGCGTAGGCAGGCGCAATGATCTGCGGGTCCTTGGCCGCTGCGTCCGCGTACTTGAGGATGGCCTCGCGCGGGTCCTCCTCCATCCACGTCTCCTTCAGCAGCCCGCCCTCCTGCCCACGCAACGCACGCACACGTGGGAAAGGTTCAAAAGTGGGGAGTGGTTGGGGAGACCGGGGAGGGATCGGGGAGAGGAGAAAATGAGGAAGGGGTCCCTTACAACTGGTGCTCAGGCTGTTCATGTTAACTACTGCCACAAAGCATTCCCATGCTCTCAACATGCCCAACAACTGCTGCGGCAGCAGGAAGCAGCAGGCAGGAAGGTGGCAGGGGGCAGCACGCACGCGGAGCAGGTACTGGGTGAGCAGGGTGCCCTTGGTCTGCCCCACGCGCCCGCCGTGCCCCGCTCCCTCCATCGGCAGGTCTGGCCGCTGGCTCGCCACGGGGTCTTTGCGCGCCTTGTCGCGCTGCCGCTTGCGGCTGGGCTCGTCGCGGAACATGGGCAGCGCGTGCGGAACATGGGCAGCGCGTGCGGAACATGGGCAGCGCGTGCGGAACATGGGCAGCGCGTGCGGAACATGGGCAGCGCGTGCGGGTTGCGGATGGCGGGCGCCGTGCGGGTCCTCGGGGCGAGGGGCGCGGGGGGCACGCGCCACGCACACCAGCGCGCCGCGCTCGCTGAGCGTGGGGTCGTACAGAATGTGCGTGCCGCCCGCCTTCTTGTCTCCACATGTGGCGAATATCTGGTGGGGATCGAGGGGTAGATTCGAAAGACAGAGGGAGGCGCAGATGGAAACGGATGTGTGGGAGATGGGGGGGGGGGGTTAGGGCCGTGTTTTCAGTCGACTCAAAACATTTGGGTTTTGCTGGCGGGTGTTGGCTGTTGTGATGAGCTCCACATGGGGAATGGGACTTGAGGAGGGAAAGGGGGAAAATCAACACTTGAGAGTGCTGACATTGCTGTGAAAAGCAATAAGGATCTGGGTATGATGAGAAATAGAGCACCCACTTGGTTGAGGCGTGCGTGCCACAGCACCCGCACAACGCTCTGGTCGGGCGACACGCCCGTGACCCTCACGAGCTCCAGAGACTCCTTGGAGTAGAAGTGCAGCTGCCCCGCACGGGCACACATGCGCGCACACATAGAGATGGGGTGTGGGGGGTGGGAAGAACAATCAAGTAAGGCAACTTTCGCAAATTGGCCAGACTTTGCTCTCTCACATGTACTGAATCTGGTCTAAGTTAAAAACCAGTTCCGTTTGTACAAATATTACGAAAAAAACTGCAGGTTTTTCAGCTTGATTAATGTAAAATAGCCTGGTTCAAGGGTTGCCTTGTGCCAATCCTCAGCTTGTGGGCCATGTGTCCATTTCAAGAGTGCGGGAGGGTGGTACAGGCGTGGGCGGGAATCCACCCTCAACAACATTCAGGCACCCACCCAAGTTGGAGGAGGTACATGTGGAGGCAGAGCAGGACAAGAGGAAGGTGCACGAGGTGACGCCCACAAGGGAAGTTGCAGGTGGTGTAGGGGAAGGTCGAGCAGGCAGATAGAAATGTGCCGTAGCCGAGAGAACAGGGTGAGGAGATGAGATAGCAATAGCAGAGGTGCTTGACGGGTTGCAGCAGGTGCTTGCAGCGAAACCATCTTGAGGCGCAGTGGTGCGCCTCCACACATCTCCTCCTCTACATCCTCTCTTCTTCCTGCTCTCTAACCTGCCCGCCGCGCCCGCCCTTCTCAGCGGAGGTGCCGGTGAAGAAGAGGCGCTCGTGGGGGCTCCACGCCACGTTGGTCTGCGCGTAGTGGTTGGGCAGGTCTGAGAACACCCGAACCGGCTGCTTGAACTTGCGCACGTGTCACACCTGCGGGGAAAGGGGAAAGGGGGGGTTGGAAAACACAGAGACGGTGGGGGAAGGGGAAGGGGGAAACAAGGTATGAATGAAATGAGGGAAGACGAGAAAGAGGTACAAGAGGGATACAGAAACAGTGGGGACAAAGGACAAGGGAGACAAGAAATTAGGGAAGATGGGACGGATCTGAAATGACATGGGTGGAATTACGGGAAGTGAGGGACAGTGTGGATACGAGACAAGAGGAAAATTGGATGGGTTCAGGATTGGGTTGAATAAGGAAGGGGGGAATAAGGGATGAAGAGGACATGGAGTGCAGGGAATTGGGTATGGGAAGGAGAAAGAATGATGCAGAGAAGGAAAAGGAAAGGACTGATGGAGGAAAAAGAAGTGTTGGTGGTGTGCTCACAATGGCCTGGGGTGCTCCACACGCGATGGTGAGAGCACGAGACAATGGGTGTACTGGAGTAGGTGGTGTGTGGGTGAGCACGAGAATGGGAGTGCACCGTGCTTCCAGCATGCAGCATGCAGCCGACTGTTGACCTCACTGGCTGCAAGCACACTCACGCCACAACTCCACCCCACAGTCCTTCCATGCAAGCAGCATGCATCCATGCAGCACACATGTCACCTTCATGCTGCCATCCATGTCACCTTCATGCTGCCATCCATGTCACCTTCATGCTGCCATCCATGTCACCTTCATGCTGCCATCCATGTCACCTTCATGCTGCCATCCATGTCACCTTCATGCTGCCATCCATGTCACCTTCATGCTGCCATCCATGTCACCTTCATGCTGCCATCCATGTCACCTTCATGCTGCCATCCATGTCACCTTCATGCTGCCATCCATGTCACCTTCATGCTGCCATCCATGTCATGTCACCTTCATGCTGCCATCCATGGAGCGGGAGACAAGCAGGGAGGCATCAGAGCAGAAGGCGATGCTTGTGATGTCGTCGCCCCTCTCATGCGCATCGGCACACAGCAGGTCGGGCAGCGAATCCCACCCTGACTTCACACTCCACACCTGCCGTGCGAGGGGAGGATTCATGGGGGCGGGTGGGAGGAGCAGCAGGGGAGGAGGGGCGAAGTTGAGGCCGTCCCCGTGCAGTGGGTGCGTGCAGTGGGTGCGTGCAGTGGGTGCGTGCCGAGAGGCGGGACAGTGAGGGACAGCAGAGCATGTGAGGCGGACAGGCATGTGAGGCGGACAGGCATGCCGTGCATGCCCGACCATGCCGTGCATGCCCCACCATGCTGTGCATGCCCCACCATGCCGTGCATGCCCCACCACAGCCTGCATGCCATGCGTGCCCGACCATGCCCTGCGTGCCCCAAACCACACCCGCAGCGAGCCATCGTGGAGGCCAGCAGCGACGAGGCGGCCATCAGGGCCCACTCCGCTGCTGTCACCGCCACCCGCCCTGTTTTGAGACGTCTCAAGGCACCCGCCCTGGCCGCGCCAGCTTCGGCTTCACCACCTGCAGCGGGAAGGGAAGCACGGGGGCGGGCGAGACGGAGGAGACTAGCTTTGCTCGAGCTGCCTAGCCCGCCGTCGGGGCAAGAGGAGCGAAGGAAATCACAAGCACAGTGTACACACACGGAGGTGGAGGGGGAGGCTTCATTGGGCGCACCTTCTTCTGCGACTTGAAGTCGCGCATGCGCAGCGAGCCGTCATCGGAGGTGGTGAGTGCGGTGTGGCGCTCGCAGGGGTGCCACTGCGCGGTGGTGAGCCCCGCGATGTGCCCCTTGGTGTTGCGCAGGTCGCGAATGTACATGTCGCCGCGCACCATCTCGCCCTTGCTGCGCCCGTCCCTGTCGTACACCTGCTCCTGCCCCGCCACCACAACCCATGGCGACGCAGTGAGGGAACGGGCAGCAGGGAGGTGGGGCGTCAGCAGAGGGGTGCGGCGAGATGACGCCTGCAACCCCGTCTGTGGCCGACCGACCACCTGGTCTGTCACCCATGTGAGCAGCTTATGGTATTGGTGGGAGCGAGACACCTTCGCCTGGGCGCACCTTGGCTTGGCCTGGGCGCTGCCGGTGGCGAGGAGGTCAGCGGAGGGGCTGAAGGACACGGCGCGCACTTGGTGGCCGTCGCACGGCAGCACCTCGCGGAAGGCCTTGAGCCGTGAGTCCATGTGGTGGAAGTCGTAGAAGCGCAGCCAGTAGTCGTAGCCGCCGCTGATCACCCTCGTGCCCGTTGGATCCACCGCCAGCGCCGCCACTGCCTGCACACCGAGGAGGAGAGAAGGGCAGGGGGGCAGGGCGAGAAGGGCAGGGGGAGAGGGTGAGCTTGCAGGTCGTTCACGGGTGGGGCAAATGTGGAAATGGGTGGGGCAGCTGAGCAGGCATGGGGAACGATTCGCCTTGCCATGTGTGACTGGCGCAATTGCCGGTGGCCTCTCCGGCTGCTACAGCCAGCGCGCCCTGCTACAGCCAGCGCGCCCTGGCAGCATCTCACCTTGGTGTGGCCCCCCAGAACAATCTCATTGCTCAGCAGCACTCCAAACTCGTCGCCCTCCTCCGCCTCTGCTTCCTCCTCCTCCTCCTCCTCCTCCTCCTCCTCCTCCTCCTCCTCCTCCTCCTCCTCCTCCTCCTCCTCCTCCTCCTCCTCCTTCTCCTCATCATCATCATCCTCATCACTACCATCGCTCCTGTGCTCATCCTGCCGCCCTGCCGCTCGCCCCTTCTTCCGCCCACGGGGGGGCTGCTGTCTGCTGCGAGCAGCAGGGGCAGGAGGGCCAATCAACCCGCCAGCACCCTCCTCCAGGGGGCCCGGGGGGCGCGGAGGGCCGATGATCACCGCATGCCCCTCACCCTCGCCGCGCACCACCGCTGCTCCCCACCCACCCATCCGCCGCTCTTACATCCCCCGCCGCTCTTGCCCCACCCCCGCCCCCGTTCGCCCCGCCCGCCTCCCCATTTGCCCCACCAGCACCGCCACTAAGCGGATTAACGCCAGCCTCTCTCGAGCTGCGCCCCGCTGCTTCCTCTCCGCCCATGCCGTCCGCTTCTCTGACTGCCCCTCCCCCCTCCGCCATACCTCCAGCGCTCGTCGCTCCCACCGCCGCTGCTCCCGCCACCCCTGCCTTGGCCCCGTCGCCTAACCTCTTCGCCAGGCTCGGCCCGATGCTGAACTTCATCCCCCCAGCCTTCTTGTTCCCCTTCCCTCCGGCAAGCTCCGTTGTGCGCGCGCCGTCTGCGCGTGAACGGCCTCGAGCGGCGTGACGCGCTCCTCCTGGCCGCCAAACGACGCGGGGAAGGCGCCGCGCACCCCCAGCAGCGTTTCCCCCTCGTCGTCGTCCGCCAACGCGGCGGCGGAGGGCGGCGGGCGGAAGGGCGGGCTATCCGGAGGACTAACTGCGTCACCGCTGACGTCATCCATCGGAGTATCCCGGAAGTGAACGTGCGCGAGTTGTGTTGCGAACGACGGCTGGGTTTTCGGTATTTGCAGCAAGTGCGGTTGTTAGCATTTGAGTTAGGTTAGAGGAAAAGAAAGTCTCAGAAATATATGCCGTCAGCACTAGCTTGCCGACTCGAGAAAGCTTACCCCAAATTCGAAACACGTGGAGGATGACAGGAGTGAGGCATGTACATAGGTTGGATGGCGAGTGCGGTGTGGAAAGTAAAAAGTTGCACGTTCGGCATCTGGGGTGGTTACTGAATCGCAACGTAGAGGGGAAAATGTTCGCACAGGAACGACGCCACGTCGAGCGTCTTCGGTCGAGCTGGAACATTCACGGTTTCGCAGCTGCCGTCGGCGATAGCTGACTTTCAGCTTCTCGAATTCTTGATGTGGACGACGTTACGAGAAAGTGTAACATTTCGCATATTCGAACAAAGGGCCTTGTTCGGATTTCGAGGTGACACGCCCTGAGGGTTTCCAACCCAGAGTCGATTTTCCTTGCGCTTTTCTTGGGCTTTGGCTGTCCCGCCAAATAAGCGACGTGAATCGGAACCAGCGCCGGCCCCGCTACTCCCACGGAACATTACAGGCTCCATCAACTAGTTCCCACATTGCTCACAACGCAACCCTCGTCCAAATCCGTTTTTCGAAGCCTTATCGTACCACCGGCGCTACGTCCAGAGATTAGGTAGGAACGGTAGCGACACAGCACCCTAACAAGCCGCCGGAGGTCCAGCAGGAGGCGGAGCGAATCTGTCGCGATCCCACATCCGTACAGATTTCTTTCGGTGGGCGGCAGTGGGCGGTATCGCCGTGATCGCCGTCGCCGTCATCATCGCGAGCGTCGCGTGGCGAGCAGCATGGCGGCGGGCGTGCCCCCGCCGGTGTTCAACCTGTTCATCATCAACAAGTCGGGCGGCCTCATCTACTACAAGGTGCGCCCCTCCCCTCCCGCGTGCTGCCGCTCACTCAGCACGCACGCATTCCGTGCCGCTGCTAAGAGCATGCTGGCGGCGTCCACAGCACTCAGGCTCGTCTCGCTCGTCCATGACGCATTCCATCATTCCACTTCCTCGTCCCGCTGCAGAGCTCCGCTTGGCGTGAGAGGTTGCTGTGAATGTTAGGCACGATGCTCCACCCGATGCTCACCCTCCTGTCCCACTCGTCAAACGCCTTCGCACTTCCCACCCACGCCTCTTCCATCCCCTCCCCTTTCTCTCATCCACTCCCGAATCTCCCCCCTTCTTCCCTTCTCCACCACAGCCGCAGCAGACCACCAACGACTCGCCTAGTCTGTCCCTTGCTGTGCAACCCCTTCTCTCCCTTCCTCTCCTTCCCTCAACTCCCTTACCCCTGGGTGGAGAAAGACGCGTCCTGCGTTTAGGACGCTTGCGTCCAGACGCAGCGTCTTAGACGCAGGACGCTAGAGGAGGGCCTTTAGGACGCATGAAAAGACGCATGCCCGGGCAGGGCAAAAAAAACCCCCGGGCAGCCGAAAAATGATGTTATAGGGTACGGGGAGGGGGGGGGGGGGGGGGGGGGGGGGGGGGGGGGGGGGGGGGGGGGACGACGATGCACACATTTGAGGCAAAATCGTCCCCTTCAAATTTTCAGGGTTTAGGGTTTACGAAGGAGAATTGACTTGGTAAACCCTCTAGGGTGTTTTTGATGGTCGAAATGGGTTAGGGGGGTCGACATGACACGTAATTGACAGTCGCGTCGAAATCGTTAGTCAATTTCGCACTGGGACATTTTTTTTCCCGGTCAGCCCGAAAAAAAATACGGGGTGCGTCCTGCGTCTGGACGCGTGCGTCTTTCTCCACCCAGCCTTACCCCCCCAACTCCCTCTCCACCCCCCCTTCCCCCGAAAATCTTTTCCCCCAACTCCGCACCACCCCCACCCCTGCAATCATTGCAGTGGTCCCCAACGTCAGAAGTCCAAACCCTGGAGCAGCACGGCAACAGTTATTTGAACTCACTCAACCTCTCAATCTCCCAACGCTTTTTCCTCCATCCGCTTTCCCCCTTCTGCCTTCCCCCAAGCCCACACCTCTCCCTCCCTGCTTTCGCCCATCTCCTCGCCTCTCTCCCCCCTTCCCCCTGGCTGGCGGGGGCAGGACTTTGGGTCGTTGAACCGGCTGGACACTAACGACTCGCTGCGCCTCGCCTCCACGTGGCACGGGCTGCACGCCATCGCCATGCAGGTCACGTGCTCTGCCCCTGCTTGTCAGTGGTTGTTTGAGCTGCTGTGAGCGGCTGTGGGTTGCATCGCTGTCAATGGCTGATAGTGGCTGCGTGATGCAGACCTCTCGACATCCATGCCTTGATGCCATGGCCGCATGTGACACCAGATGAACCACAGACCGACAGCTTGTTGAACCGAGATCCCGCTCTTGCCATTTCCCCTCTGTGTGAACAGCTGTCGCCCATCCCCAACGGTGGCGGCATTGAGATGCTGGAGGCAGGCACCTTCGACTTGCACTGTTTCCAGACGCTCACAGGTGCCCTCCCTCCCATCCATCAACTCCACCCACACGAATGTTGCCACTCAGATTGGCTCGTAATCCATTGTGAGCAGCACCAGCTCTCCACTCTCTATTCCCTCTGCCTCATTCCTTGCCACTCTGCCCCATCCCATTCCTCTACGCCCCCAACATCCCTCTGACACCCCTTATCTTCCAACCACACCGCGCAATGCACCGAGCTCCACACTAAGTTACCATCGACGTGTCCAAAGTCTCGTTTTCATCCAGTCCAGAAGCACTGCGCCCCTCCTCCTCCTCCTCCTCCTTCTCCTCCTCCTCCTCCTCCTCCTCCTCCTCCTCCTCCTCCTCCTCCTCCTCCTCCTCCTCCTCCTCCTCCTCCTCCTCCTCCTCATCCGACGCTGCACAAGGACGCTGCACGCTACCCTGTTTGGCTGACGACAGTAACATAGGCTGCACAGTCAGCCTCCTCAGGGCACGCCTGCCCAACAAACCCTTCCTGCGCACCCCATTATTCCTCCTTTTGAACCCATTCCCCCCTCCTCCTCACCCGCAGGCACCAAGTTCTTCATAGCCACGGAGGTGGGCTTCACGGGGGCGCCCACGCTGCTCGCAATCATCTACGACCTCTACACCGACTATGTGCTCAAAAACCCCTTCTATGAGGTGAGACTCTCCACCGACTATGTGCTAAAAAACCCCTTCTATGAGGTGCCTCTCTACACCGACTATGTGCTCAAAAACCCTTGCTATGAGGTGCCTCTCTACACCGACTATGTGCTCAAAAACCCCTTCTTGAAGGTGCCTCTCTACACCGACTATGTGCTCAAAAACCCCTTCTATGAGGTGCCTCTCTACACCGACTATGTGCTCAAAAACCCTTTCTATGAGGTGCCTCTCTACACCGACTATGTGCTCAAAAACCCCTTCTATGAGGTGCCCCTATACACCGACTATGTGCTCAAAAACCCTTTCTATGAGGTGCCTCTCTACACCGACTAAGTGCTAAAAAACCCTTTCTATGAGGTGCCTCTCTACACCGACTATGTGCTCAAAAACCCTTTCTATGAGGTGCCCCTCTACACCGACTATGTGCTCAAAAACCCCTTCTATGAGGTGCCTCTCTACACCGACTATGTGCTCAAAAACCCTTGCTATGAGGTGTCTCTCTACACCGACTATGTGCTCAAAAACCCCTCCTATGAGGTGCCTCTCTACGCCGACTATGTGCTAAAAAACCCTTGCTATGAGGTGTCTCTCTACACCGACTATGTGCTCAAAAACCCCTTCTATGAGGTGCCCCTATACACCGACTATGTGCTCAAAAACCCTTTCTATGAGGTGCCTCTCTACACCGACTCTGTGCTCAAAAACTCTTTCTATGAGGTGCCTCTCTACACCGACTATGTGCTAAAAAACCCTTTCTATAAGGTGCCCCTCTACACCGACTATGTGCTAAAAAACCCCTTCCATGAGGTGCCCCTATACACCGACTATGTGCTCAAAAACCCTTTAAATGAGGTGCCTCACTACACCGACTAAGTGCTAAAAAACCCTTTCTATGAGGTGCCTCTCTACACCGACTATGTGCTAAAAAACCCTTTCTATGAGGTGCCCCTCAACACCGACTATGTGCTAAAAAACCCCTTCTATGAGGTGCATCTCTACGCCGACTATGTGCTCAAAAACCCTTGCTATGAGGTGCCTCTCTACACCGACTATGTGCTCAAAAACCCTTTCTATGAGGTGCCCCTCTACATTGACTATGTGCTCAAAAACCCTTTCTATGAGGTGCCCCTCTACACCGACTATGTGCTCAAAAACCCTTTCTATAAGGTGCCTCTCTACACAAACTATGTGCTAAAAAACCCCTTCTATGAGGTGCCTCTCTACACCGACTATGTGCTCAAAAACCCTTTCTATAAGGTGCCTCTCTACACCGACTATGTGCTCAAAAACCCTTTCTATGAGGTGCCCCTCTACACCGACTATGTGCTTAAAAACCCTTTCTATGAGGTGCCCCTCTACACCGACTATGTGCTAAAAAACCCCTTCTATGAGGTGCCTCTCTACGCCGACTATGTGCTCAAAAACCCTTGCTATGAGGTGCCTCTCTACACCGACTATGTGCTCAAAAACCCTTTCTATAAGGTGCCTCTCTACACCGACTATGTGCTCAAAAACCCTTTCTATGAGGTGCCCCTCTACACCGACTATGTGCTCAAAAACCCTTTCTATGAGGTGCCCCTCTACACCGACTATGTGCTAAAAAACCCCTTCTATGAGGTGCCTCTCTACGCCGACTATGTGCTCAAAAACCCTTGCTATGAGGTGCCTCTCTACACCGACTATGTGCTCAAAAACCCTTTCTATAAGGTGCCTCTCTACACCGACTATGTGCTCAAAAACCCTTTCTATGAGGTGCCCCTCTACACCGACTATGTGCTAAAAAACCCTTTCTATGAGGTGCCCCTCTACACCGACTATGTGCTAAAAAAACCCCTTCTATGAGGTGCCTCTCTACGCCACTATGTGCTCAAAAACCCTTGCTATGAGGTGTCTCTCTACGGCGACTATGTGCTCAAAAACCCTTTCTATAAGGTGCCTCTCTACACCGACTATGTGCTCAAAAACCCTTTCTATGAGGTGCCCCTCTACGCTGACTATGTGCTCAAAAACCCTTTCTATGAGGTGCCCCTCTACACCGACTATGTGTTAAAAATACCCTTCTATGAGGTGCCTCTCTGCACCGACTATGTGCTCAAAAACCCCTTCTATGAGGTGCCTCTTTGCACCGACTATGTGCTCAATAACTCTTCCTACACTGCAATTTGATGTGGTTTCATGCAGTTAATGTAGTGTCATGCATTTGATGTAGTGTCATGCATTTGATGTAGTGTCATGCATTTGATGTAGTGTCATGCATTTGATGTAGTGTCATGCATTTGATGTAGTGGTCAACGCGTGTCCGCCCCCCACCCCTGCCACGCCATGTACACCAGGTGGAGATGCCCATCCGCTGCGACCTCTTTGACCTGCATCTGCCTGCTGCCATCCGCAAGGACCGCTCTCTGCTCGCCGCTGGGGTCGTCGTGCCCGGCCGATCATAGTGCACTCGCATAGGTTGGGCCCAAAGTGGCTCTTGCAGGTGATGAGTGTAGACTAAGTAGTACGGTAAGCACCACCATGCGAGCCATGTGGATTGGGGCTGTGAGGAGGCTGATGTCTAAAACGATCATAAGCACTCGAAGGGGAGGGGTGGGACAATTGATGGCACTTCAGCTCTGTTAGACCAATTGGAGGTACCCGTATTATCGTACTCCCAACTGTTGTTTTAGGCTTGTTACGCTGCCAGCATGTGCTATTTCCCGGCAGGTTGACACAATCGAGGGTTGTGAATGCTGTTTTTCAAATAATTAGGGCTTGAGAGGAAATCTTCGGTTCGTGTAAAGGGCTCATGGCATTGTGGCCCGTGTTTGTTCCATCATCAATACCTCATGAATCTTTAGTTTCGCTTCACCATACAACAAATGGGGTAAAGATATCACAAACACCACCCAATAACGGCTCTGTCCACATTCCCTGGTCACCTCTATCCACTTCAATGCCCCTGAGGGAACGCACTTGTTGGCACCTCCACCGCTCAGACGTGCAAGCCACGTCTGTGGTCGCGACCTCCGCCCACCCTCTACGCCCTCTCCGCCCATGCTGCGTACGACTCTCCCCCCTAGCTGGCTGCACTACATGCCGATTATTTCGGCGTTCCACCACTCGCTATGCTCGCGCCACGCTCTGCCCTCTCAGCATCGAATTTCCTCGCCTTGATCGTCCCACGCTCCAAGGTTTGTCAAACATTATATGTGTTGTGCTTGTTTAGGCTGCAGTGGGTTAGCCTATAGGGGGTACACAATTCTAGGGTTAGGTACTTGTACTCATTTCACTGCTAGTTCACTCATTCCTCGTTCAGTTATTCTGACATGGTTTCAGAGCAGGTCCTTCGCTAGGACCTAAGTTTTTTTTTTTCCAGGCCCACCTCTACTACCTACTTCCTACCTACTGTCGGAGTGCTGCGTTAGCGCCTCCCCCTCAGCGCCCTCGTGCGCCCTCGTGTACGGCCCCTTAAGGCCCCGTCGACCCCGCACGCTGCCCCTTAGTGGCCCCGTCGCACCCGCGCGCGCCCCGATTCCGGCCCGCTTGGCCCCGTCGACCCCGCGCGCACCCCGTTTAGCGGCCCCGTGGCCCCGTCGACCCACCCTAGAGGCCCCTCGGCCCCGTGCGCACCCCGTGTAGCGGCCCCGCGGCCCCGTCGACCCACCCTAGAGGCCCCGCGGCCCCGCGGCCCCGCGCGCAACCCGTTTAGCAGCCCCGCGGCCCCGTCGCCCCACACCTAGAGGCCTCGCGGCCCCGCGCGCACCCCGTTTAGCGGCCCCGCGGCCCCGTCGACCCTCAACTAGAGGCCCCGCGGCCCCGCGCGCACCCCGTTTAGCGGCCCCGTGGCCCCGTCGCCCGCCACCTCACGGCCCCGCGACCCTCCTGCGCCCCGCTTAGCGGCCCCTCGGCCCCGTCGAGCCCCGCTTAACAGCTCCGCGCAACCGAACCGAGCCGCGCCGCCCTACCTGAACCGAGCCGCGCCGTCAGACCGAGCCGCGCCGCCCGTACCAGCAGCCCCGTCGATACTGCTGCTCCTCCTATTTCTTCTACGGCTACTACTACTGTTCCTACTGCAACTACTGCTGCCACTATGGCCAGTCCTCCCGTACTTGCTTTCGATGCTGAGGGCCGCCCAGTGAAATTTGACACCTGGCTAGATGACCTGCACCTCTTCCTCCAGCTCACTGCCAAGGAGGATATTTCGCTGTACGATCATGCCCTCGGTCACGCTACTGCCCCTCCTACCACTGCAGACAGCACTCAGCGCTCACAGTGGCAGACTCGTGACGCCCACGCTCGCTTCGCTATTCGCAACTCCCTGCCACTAGATGAGCGCGAGCACTTTGGCCAGCACAAGACTGCTAAGGACCTGTACACTGCTGTAGTTGCTCGTTACTCCTCACCTGCCTCTGCCGCACTAGGCCGCCTCACCCTCCCCTACCTGTTCCCCGACCTGGCCTCCTTCAGCACAGTCGCTGACCTCATCACCCACCTCAGGACCAGTGAGGCCCGCTTTCGCGCTGCTATGCCTGACGAGTTCCTTGCCAGCAACCCCCCCCCGCTCTGGATCACGCTCTACCACATCGTCACCCGCCTCCCTGACTCTCTGCGCGCAGTCAGGGATCACTTCCTCGCTCGCTCTCCCACTGAGCTCACCATTGCCCTCCTCGAGAAGGAATTGCTTGCAGCTGAGGCGAGCATCGTCGCTGTAGGCACCTCTCGTGGCGACCCCCGCACCCCGTTCTTTGAGGGGTGTTCCCCTTCCCCTCTCCTCCCCTCTGTCGCCTCTGCTGCTGCTGTCGACCTCCTTGGTGCTGAGAAGGTCGGGGCTGCGTCTGCTCCGAGCGGGCGCCGCAGGGGCAAAGGGGGCAAGGGTGGAGGTGGCGGCGGGGGAGGCGGGAGTGGTGGCGGTGGGGGTGGCGGTGGGACTGGAGAGGCTAGTGGCGGCAGTGGGGGTGGTGACAGCAGCGGCGGGAGCGGTGGCAGGGGCGGAGGCGGCAGCGGAGGCGGAGGTGGTCGTGGCGGCGGCAGGGGTGGAGGTGGCCGGGGCGGTGGCGGCGGCGGTGGTGGTCGTGGAGGCGCTGGCGGTGGACAGAGTCAGCAGCCCGCCCCGTCGCTTCAGGCCGCCCGTGAGTGGTATGCGCAGCGTGGCTTTACCTGCACGTACGTCATTCGCACTGGTGACCGCACTGGCCAGCAGTGTGGGAGGCCGCATCCCACACAGCGCTGTTTCGCGCGCCTTACTGACGCGTGGCGTGCCCAGTTTCCTGATGCCACTGACCTGCCCCACTGGGCTGATCTGGAGAAGAAGGGAGTTGATATCTGGGCTTTAGACTTTGATGCTATTCTCATTGCCATGTATGCGATGTATACTAGTGGAGAGGGTGCTCAGTACTTGCGTGTTCCGCCCGACCCGGGCATTCTGACCAGTCCGGCTGCCGCTCTAGGTGCTAGTGAGTCTGCTGCCCCAGGTCCTGGTGAGGCTGCTGCTCTAGGTGCTAGTGAGTCCGTGCCCTCTGGTACTGAGTCGACTGCAGCACTGCACACCTTCACACTGGACTCAGGTGCTTCTCGCTGTTTCTTTCGTGACCGCACTGTCCTTGAGCCGCTAGCTCGGCCAGTTGCTGTCTCCCTCGCTGACCCCTCTGGGGGTCCGGTCGTTGCGACCTCCTCCACTGTCCTTCCTTGTCCTGCGGTCCTGTCAGGCACACTGTCAGGCCTCTACCTCCCCTCGTTCTCTACGAACTTGGTGGCAGGTAGTGCGCTCCAGGACGGGGGTGTTCACCAGTTCACCCCTGCTTACGAGCGCGTGACCCACTGCACGTGTGCTCGGACGGGCCGTCACCTGGCTACCTTCACTCGGCAGCCGGGGTCGGACCTGTACACACTGACCACTGAGTCCCCTCAGGTAGCTGCGTCCGCGTCTGCGTCTGCGTCAGGTCAGCTGTCCGCCCCCTGCTCGTGTCGCTCTCTGGCGCATGAGACTGTCCTCTGGCACCACCGCCTTGGTCACCCGTCTGTGCAGCGCCTTCGGGCCATGCACAAACAGGACCTTGTTGCTGGTCTTCCCAGGGTTCTCCCTCCCCTCCCACCCTCGCCTGCTCCTCCCTGTCTTCCCTGTGTCGAGGGGCGGCAGCGCGCCGCTCCTCACTCCTCCTCCTTCCCCCCGACGACTGCTCCTTTGCAGACGCTCCACATGGACGTGTGGGGCCCAGCCCGCGTCCGTGGTCAGGGTCAGGAGAGGTACTTCCTGATTGTTGTTGACGACTTCTCGCGCTACACCACGGTCTTCCCCTTGCGCACCAAGGGTGACGTCCCTGATGTCTTGATCCCTTGGATCCGCAGATCTCGTCTCCAGCTCAGTGAGCGTTTCCGCTCCGACTTCCCTGTCCTCCGTCTGCACTCTGACAGAGGTGGGGAGTTTTCCTCTGGCCTCTTGGAGGCCTTCTGTCAGCAGGAGGGCATTGAGCAGTCGTTCACGCTTCCGGCCTCTCCACAGCAGAATGGGGTTGCTGAGCGCCGCATTGGCTTGGTCATGGAGGTCGCTCGTACCTCCCTGGTTCATGCGGCTGCCCCCCACTTTCTGTGGCCGTTTGCAGTCCGATACGCTGCGCATCAGCTCAACCTCTGGCCCCGTGTCTCCTTTCCGGAGACCTCTCCGACACTGCATTGGACGGGAGAGGCTGGCGATGCGTCGCGTTTTCGGGTCTGGGGATCTCGAGCTTTTGTTCGCGATACGTCCGCGGACAAGCTCTCCCGTCGAGCTGTCCCCTGTGTCTTCCTTGGCTTCGTCCCGGACGCGCCTGGTTGGCAGTTCTACCACGCCACCTCGCGTCGTGTCCTGGCCTCTCAGGACGTCACTTTTGACGAGTCCGTCCCCTACTACCGCCTCTTCCCCTACCGCACTGCCCCGCTCCCCCCCCCGCCTCTCTTCCTCGCTCCAGGTGCTGAGGTACCAGACCCCCTCCCCCCTCAGGGTGCCGCTCCCTCAGGTGTGTCCCAGGTAGACCCGGTTGAGCCTGTCGAGGTAGCTGTTGACTCTCGTCCTGCTGGGGGTGCTGAGCCTGACCGTGAGGAGTCTGAGGGTACTGAGCCTGGGGGTGCGGAGCCTGGGTGTGCGGAGCCTGGGGGTGCGGAGCCTGGAGGTGCGGAGCCTGGGGGTGCTGAGCCTGGGGGTGCTGAGTCTGGGGGTGCTGAGCCTGGAGGTACTGAGCCTGGGGGTGCTGAGCCTGGGGGTGCTGAGCCTGAGCGTGCTACACCTGGAGGAGCCCTCTCCTCCCGGCAGCTGCAGGAGAGGTACCTACAGTACTGCCGCCTCCGGAGAGGTGCTACTGGAGCTCGCACCAGTACTTCCCCTCCTGCCCAGGAGCTCCCCCCCATTCAGCAGATCCGAGAGTGGTACACGCGGCGCTGCAGTCTTCGGAGTGGTGCTCCTGGTGCTGCGGACCCTGGGGGTGGC